GGGCCGGGTTTCCGGAAGACAGCCCGCGAAGATGAGCAAAACCCTTCTGTGCCTCTGGTGGCCTCGGATCGCAGGAGTGACGGGATTTGTGCCCCCTCGTCCCTATTTGTTTTTCTGTTTTAGTTGAAAACTAAAATACACTTGTCCCGCGCGCCGGGTGGCGGGGGGGTGCGCTGCTGGAGATTGGGTTTCTTCAGGACGAACGCTTGGAAGCTGACCTCTAGCAGGGCTTTTATTAGGACAAATGAGCAACTGGAGATGTGAGGGGATTCGCAGGGTGTCCGGTGCTGAAGTGAACACCACGCGTTCCCTTCCTTATGGATTACCACGTTTACATATGTTGCAATAAATTTGTTACTACTTCAAACCTTTGCTACTGTGATTGTGTATTCTGTTCATCTCTTGAATCTTTCATTCATCTTTGGTTTTCCTATTTCAGGGCTTCGTTGTACGAACATTAAAGAGATTTTATTTGTAACCCTAGAAGGCCCAGTGTTGTCAGTGCACACATCACTAAAACGTTCACAGATGTATTACACACCCATATAACCAGCATCCCAGTCAAGACATAGGATATTTCTAGCTTGCCACTTTGCAATCCTTACACCCCCCAACATCAACTCTTCTTTGAAGCAATTGCTTTGGACATATTTACATGTCACATGCTTCATCTACCTGCATATCCATAAAGTTTCCTACCTGCGTGGCACACCACTCCTGGACTCTTCCTCCACCTCTTATTCTGAGTAAAAGAGAGTGGTGTACATGGGTGATGTGGGATGGGCTACAGGGCAAGAGCCCAGGCAATGAGAACTTTGAGAGTCGAGGTGCTTGACACAGAAAATATGGAGGCATTCCCTGCAAGGGAACCCTGTCCCTTGAAGAGAAAGGAGAAGGGTGAGGCCCCTAGTAAAAGGATGGAGGAGCAGAGATCTATGAAGACCCCGGGGGGAGGGGCTCTCAGAGGAGATCAGGAAGGTTCCATGTTCTTCGGGGTGAGGCTGAGGGCTGGGAGGTGCCCTGGCCTTGGCTCATGCCATTCCTTCGAGCTGAAATGCTGTCTGAGTCCACTCTTATTCATCTTTAGCTATCACGGAAAGGTTCAAAATTGCTGAGACTAGATTACGAGCTCTGCTGGCACTCTGCGTATTTCCTAGAAACTAGATTACGAGCTCTGCTGGCACTCTGCGTATTTCCTAGAAGCACTTTTCATAGCTATCATTTTACATTTTCATCGTGTGCTTATTGGAAGAATAGTGGTCTCCTCCCCTGGTCCTCAGCTCCCCGAAGGTAGGAGCTGTGTTTAAGTTTTTTCTCATCATTGCATCCACAATGCCTATCATAGTTCCTGGTGTACAATAGATGCGCAGTAAGGACTTATTGAGTACTGAAGTATTGAATGAATGAGAAAGCACTGATACGTAGGACCACACAGTTCTCTTTCCTTTCCTGGTACAGCCCTACACAAGATCAGTTCGTAGGACATTTCCTAGAGACTGTTGTAAGAAGTTCTACATAGTCAAGAGTCAAAATACAGGCTAATACAGGGGACAGAGTTAGAAACTGGGGTACCTAAAACTGTATATTCGGTAAGGTCAGCTGATAGCAAAGGAAATAATAGAGTTGATCCAAAGCAGAGACAATTTTCTAGGGATTTCTTTGATATTACAAGTTTTTTACTCATCTGAGAATGTCTTAACATATACAAAAATTCACATGTAAATATATTACCAACACATTGATCCTTAAAGTTTTTACAGAATTAATTCAAGTATAAGATTTTCTCTTTTCCAATTAATCTGAAGGAGGAAACTGACTGACTGCAATGTGCAGAAATGATGGAACTATGTAAGTTGAAAAGTTTCTGGTAACCATCCCATCCTCACCAACTGACTTTTTTTTTAAAGTTTATTTATTTAAGCAATCTCTACAACGTGGGGCTTGAACTCACAATCCTGGAATTAAGAGCCACATGCTCTACAGACTGAGCCAGTCTGGCACCAGTGACCTACCAACTTTATTCCCTCATTTTCTCTTGGCAGGTCTCTCCTCCTTGCTCCCATCCCCCCTCTTCAGCGCAGGAATATCCTCAACCTACTTCTCCTATGCTTTTCCAGTTCTTTCTCTCCATTCTGTGCTTCCCAAACGGTATCTGAGGATGACTGGTCAATACTAGAATCAAGGTGTCTTGGAGAACTGTTACAATTAGTACAGCATTTTTGTTCATAGATATGGTGGGAGTTGTTTCGATTTGTGAGGGAATACTATGTTAAAGAAAAGCCTGGAGACACTGGGCTGCCTCTTTTCTTTCTGAGCTAGCTGTCAGCAGATAGACAGCAGACAGCTATTTTCTTTCACGTAAATATTGGACCTTTAGGACTGTAATATCAGGGTCAATTAAGTCAGGACTATATTTGAGGAGCATGGGAAGCAACTGCTCCCACCTAGAAGATGAGGGTGGAAGAATGCTCGGTCTGGAACTCAGGGAAGAGGGGCTGTGTCCCCAGAAGACAAAGAGAAATCTCAATCAAGCAATTAGCCTTCAATTTTCACTGAGTCCTTAGTTTTCTATTGCTGCATAAGAAATTATCACTAACTTTACTGGATTAAAACAACACAAATTTATTATCTCAGAATTTCAGTAGGTCATAATTCTGACCGTGGCATGGCTGGATTCCCTGCTCAGGGTCACACGAAGCTGAAATCAAGGTATTGGCTGGGTTGTGTACTAATCTAGAGGCTCCACTAGAGAAAGGTATGCTTCCAAACTCCCTCAGATTGTTGGCAGAAATCATTTCCTTGCTGTTGAGGACTGAGCTCCCAGAGGCTGATTTCAGGTCCTTGCCACGTGGCCCCTCCACAGGTCTGTTCATATTGTAATTTCTTTCTTTTTTTTTTTTTTGAAAGATTTTATTTATTTATTTGAGAGAGAGAGAATGAGAGACAGAGAGCATGAGAGGGAGGAGGGTCAGAGGGAAAAGCAGACTCCCTGCTGAGCAGGGAGCCCGATGTGGGACTCGATCCCAGGACTCCAGGATCATGACCTGAGCTGAAAGTAGTCGCCCAACCAACTGAGCCACCCAGGCGCCCCTCTTCTTTCTTTTTTAAAGATTATTTTATTTGAAAGAGAGAGAGCATGAGCAGGGGTGGGAGGCAGAGGACAAGGGCCAGTCCCAGGGCCCTGAGATCATGACCTGAGCCAAAGGTAGCCGCTTAACCGACTGAGCGAGCCATCCAGGCGCCCTCATATTTGTAATTTCTGACTTCAGGAAAGGTCCAGTCTCTTCTAAGGGCTCACCTGATTAGGTCAGGTCCACCCAGGATAATCTCCACTTTTATGAACTCAAAATCAATTGATTTGGGATCTTATCATGGGAATGGTATCACAGGTTTCTGAAAGAGAGGGGAATTTCATCATGGTGTACCACAGGGCGTGGGGGGGGGGCTGGGCAGAAACGACGGGGGCCATATTAGCATTCTGCTTGTCATAATATTTACAACATACTTTGCTAGGCTCTAGAATTGATGCCACAAGACTAGGGAAAGCACTGTTCGGATAGTTTGAGAATAAACGAGAAGCGTACCGCTGCGATTTGTGCAACAGCAAAAAATAATTGTTAGGAAAAATTTTCAATAATAGGTTGGGGAGACTAGGCAGAAAACTGTCCGGAAATTGGGTGATCTAGGGAGTCTTGAGCTCAGTGAAGATATACTGAGAATTGTATTCAGACTGAAGGCTGAGAGGACAGAGGCCGCAGATGCAGCCGCTGCTGACTGAGGGATACCTAGTCCTTTTATTCATCTAAGTGGAAGGTGCGAAACAGGGTGTGTTTGACTCTGGAAAAAGGAACAGCATATTTAGAATAACTTCACAAGCCTACTGCCCCATTGTAAATTCCAGCAGGGCGAACACAGGCTGGGTCTATGTGGGTCTCCACTCTTTCCCCGTTATCTAGCACAGCGCAGCAACCTAGTCTGCACACAGTAAAAGCTCAACATACAATTGTTAAATGAATGGCGTCAATACACCAAACAGCTCATTGAGAAATAATTTCTGCTCCAATTGTTTGATTATTGGGTTCCGTTTGATCTCCATGAGACGTGGGTTTTCACGGAGGAGTGATGTGTTCATGGAACCTGCTGCTTCCTTTTTTTCTCATTGTTCTTATATCGTACATGTAGAGACATATATTTGAGCGATTAGTGCTCTTTCCCTATAAAACAGTGGTGTCTCCGTGATCGGGCTTTTTCTCTTTCCTCCCTCGATCTCTCTTACTATCCTGGCTGTGTGGAGTCCTCGCTGGGCTTCATGCTTGCGGGTTTCCCGGCGGCAGGCTGCAGTGACCAATTCGGAAAGGCAACTCCAAATTCGGCCTTCGAGTGGCCGAGCCTCTGGGCGTCGGACACCGTGAGGCACCGTGCAGTGAGGAACTGAGCACGCTTTCTGCCGGCTCGCAGCTCACCTCTCAGGACTCTCTCTCCACCGAGCCCCCGGGCCACCCGCCTGCGCGCCCGCCGGGAGCGCGGACCCCCGCTGTACGGCGGAGCCTCGGTCAAGATGGCCGCGCCCGGCCGCGACACCCAGGGGCGCCGCCATGGCAGCCGCCGGACCCGCTGAGGCCGCGCTTCGAGCCGCCGCCATGTCGGCCTCCGCCTGCGAGCCGAGCTTCACAAAGCGGGAGAGCGTGGGCCGGAGGAGGAGTGCGGGGACGGCCGAAGGGGCCGGGTGTCCAGCGGAGATGGCTGTGTCCGAGCCGGGGGGCAGCGCGGCGGTGAGCGCGATGGCGGGGCGGGGCGGGGCGGCGTGGTGGTCCGAGGTGGTCTAATTGGGGGTCCGTGATTGGAGGGTGACTGTAGTCTCTGAGACGAGCGGTTTGGGAATCGGAGGCGATGCTGGAGGGGGGGAGGGGTGTCGGCGTTCTGGGGGATCTGTGGGGCAGTGATGGGGGCCCTGCAGGGTCCGCGGGTGCTACAGGTTATGGAAATCCGTGTTTGGCGAGATGTGCGGTGACAGTGAGGCGGGGAGTCAGTGGCACTCACGGAAAAGCCAGAGTCTGGAAGGCTCTGGGGATCAGGTATAGGGGCTCTGTGGTGTGTCAAAGACTGGGGAGGTGTGTGACAATTTGTGATCTATGGGAGCCAAGCGATTATAGTGCCTGTGGGAGTTACTGGATTGTCTTTGTGTGTGTGTGCAGAGGTGCCCGGAGGTCCGATAGGGGTTTATCACAATAGTTGAAGAGAAGAGATGATGATGGTTTAGAATAGGGAAATGCAGGGAAATGAAAAACCAGATTCAGAATACATCCGGAGATGAGCCAGTAAGACTTACTGATGAACTGATATGAAACATGAGGGAAGAGAAGAATCAAGATTTACACCTAGACTTTTGGCTTGAGGCACTGGAGAAACGGTGCTTCCCTTTTCTGAGAAACGGCTGTGTTGGAGACAACCAGATTTGATGGATATAAGTGGGAGCCAGAGTGGATGACAGTGGTTCTGTGTTGGCCACGTCAAGATGCCCGTTACATGTCCAAGTAGAGAATGAGTAGTTGTTAAATGTGTGAATCTAAAACTTAGGAGAGGTTTGGGCTAGAGAATCCCTATGTGAAACGCTTCAGCATATAGATGGTATTTAAAGCTGTAAGATTGGATGAGATCACTTAGGGAGAGAAGGCAGATAGAGAAGAAAAGAGGGACCAAGCTCTGGGTCGCTCTTACGTTTATTTTTTTAAAGATTTTATTTATTTATTTGAGAGAGAGAGAGAGAGAGAGAAGGAGCAGGGGGAGGGGCAGAGGGAGAAGCAGGCCCCCCGCGGAGCAGGGAGCCCGATGCGGGACTCGATCCGAGGACCCTGGGACCATGACCTGAGCCAAAGGCACACGCTCAACCGGCTGAGCCACGCAGGCGCCCGGTCACTCTTACATTTAGAGGTTTGGTAGGGGACAGGAAAAAAAAGAGAATGAGGAGGAGTAGTCCCTGAGGTAGGATGAAAATTGTAAAGGTGGTGTCAGAGAAGCATAAAGAAGAAAGCTTTTGAAGACAATGCTAGTTGTGTTGTCACAGTTGTGTCATATGCTTTTGTGAGTCCCAGACACATGACTGCAGAGAATTTGACTTTGGCAAGATGTAGCTCAATGATTATTTTGATTGATTAGAGCTTTGTAGTGGAGTGATAAGAGTAAAATCCTGTTGGAATGAGTTGAAAGAATGGAGGTAATGAAGTAGAGACAGCAAGTATCGACCACACCAGGAGTTTTGCTGGTAAAGGGAGCAATTAAATTGACATTGGATGGGACATGAGATTAAGAGATGGTTTTCATTAGATGAATTGATTTTAAAGCAACTTTGTATGTCAGTAGAAATGATTGAGTAGAAATGGACAAACAGGTGGTACAAAAGAGAAAGAGGTTAATTGCAGGCGGTGAATTCCTTGAGAAGGCCGTTGAGGATGGGATCTAGAGCCAAAGTGGAGAAACTAGCCTTAGGTGAGAAAAGGGACACTCTTTCCATTTTAACAGAAAGGAGACAGATGATAGGGGTTTTGGAAACAGATTGGTGGAATTGGTGGTAACAAGGCAAGGTAGTTCTTGTCCATTTACACTTACTTTCTCTCTCTTTTTTTTTAAAGATTTTATTTATTTATTTGAGAGAGAGAATGAGAGAGAGAGACCACATGAGAGGGGGGAGGGTCAGAGGGAGAAGCAGACTCCCCGCTGAGCAGGGAGCCCGATGTAGGACTCGATCCCAGGACTCCAGGATCATGACCTGAGCCAAAGGCAGTCACTTAACCAACTGAGCCACCCAGGCGCCCCGCACTTACTTTCTCTTTGAAAGTATAGATGAATTTATCAGCTGAGAGTGGGGAAGGAGTAGATCCTGGAGATTTCCAAGATAAAGAGGAGAATGTTTGGGATAACCATCTTGGAAAGAGGAATAGGAAACTCTTGGTATTGGATGCCCAATTGCGATATGTGTTATAAACCTAAAGTGAGTCCAGGCAACACAGTTGTTTGATTTTTCTCTCTTGGGATGTTCAGCTACAACGTTGCAGGCAGAGATGAAGAGGAGAGTTGGGTTTGATTAAGTTTGAGGCTTTGCTAGGTAAGTACAGTGGAGAAGAAAAGGGGCAAGGAAGTTAAAGGTGTTTTCCGTGGAGTGCATATGGTGCTAAGAACAAAGAATCTAAACAAGATAGAAGAAAAGTAAGGCTGTGTGGTGATGGAAGACTGTAGAAAAGTGATTCAGATCAATGCTATGGGGGCTGAATGCATTTGGAGGATTATTGGCTTGGAAGGCTAGAGGAAAAAGGCTGACAGCATAGGAAACAGTGGTCGGAGGGTAAAATGTTTTAAGTAGAGAGGTGCTGTTGTGGCATGTGGCAAGGTCTAAGGAATGGATGGGTGATAAGTAGGTGGCTGAGTTTGGGTGTGAGAAAAGATTGTTGGAGTCAGGAAAGAGAAGGGCCAGGCTGTGGACTCCTCTATGTTGATGGAGTGACAGTGCAGGAGCTAGAGTGAGGAGGAGCATGGCGTTCAAATTTTCAGTGAACGAGGCAGAATGACTGTGCGCAAAAGTTGACCTAAGTGGCCCCAAACAGCTATCCTTCGAAAAGCCTGCTTGCAAGGTTGACCTTTGGCTGATGTCTGAGAACTTAGACTTCAGGTGGCTTCCTATCGTTTCCAGAAATGATAAAAGTGGCTCACTGTGACTAAACTATGTAAACGATGTGGTTTATGCCGAGCTCCTGATTTCCTTCTGGGAACCTAGGATCTTTGTGTGTGCCAGGCAGAGGATGCCTATGAGTGCCACCGAGTCTCTGATGTCCTTCCTTGGGAAACATTTCACACGTATTCTCACAACTTATTTCTGGAGGAATCAAGTATGTCCTGCGTAATTCCACTGGAAGAGGACTCTTGGATACTTGTGCCTGGTTTCTGTAGACTTTACCCCATATACACCATTTCCTTAGCTGATTTTGCTGTGTGTTCCTGAGCTGTATTAAATCATAGCTACGGGTCCAACTATATGCTGAGTCCTGTGCGTTTATCAAGTGAATCATTGAACCAGAGAGTTAATGGTTGAAAGTCTCGTGATATTCTAAACATGATAGGGATTTTGAAGGACGTATGAAAAATGGTTGAAAGTTATCATTTACTTCATCTTCAGGCCATGAGGTACATGAGTCTTGGTTGGGCCGAAACAAACAACCTCCTCCAGGGAGCACGGTAAGGGGCCGGATTCTCAGGAGACTGGTAGATTTCAGATAAAGGGAGCAGGTGAAGGGACTGGCCAAAGAGGTTGAAGGTACAGTGCAGTTTGCTGGCAGTGATTAGGGTTTCTGTAAAGGCTGCTGGTGGTGGAGTTCTGTTGGTGTCAGTGATTGGAGATTGATAGGATAGGGATTTGGGGTCGTAGCGGAGATAGAGATTGATGTGTTCCGTGGGTATCAGTAGTGGAGGGACCCCTGGGAATATGTGATTGGAGTGTCTGGGGAGCAATTGGGGAAATCTGTTGCTGTTAGTGATTGGGAAGTTTGTTGGGATCAGTCATTTTGGAATTCCATCAGTGATTGGGAGGCCAGTGGCCCTCAGTGATGGGGCTTATTAGAAATCAGTGACTGGAGGTCTGTGAGGTTATAGATTAGTGACACATGCAGCTAATCGATTGGTGGTTTGTGGAGGTAAGGGGCCATTTTTCAATGTGAAACAAATACGTTTGAACGTGTGTTCGTTAGTGGCAAAATTCTCCAGTAGCTGTGTCATCCTCCTCTACCTGCCTAATAAGAGGAGAATCTTGAACATGCTTTAATTTCTCCCCCATCTCCCAACCCTACCAGTTATATTCCTGCTTATTTTTCTTACAACACACCTCTTGATTTTAAGGGATACTTTTATAACAGTTGTACAACATTATCAAGTTACTTGGATATAACTAGACATTTGACTGGTTTTATTATTCATAGCCCTTTCTTGTATATTACATCTTTCCCAATCTTGAAATCTTTATTCTGATGCAATTTCCTTCTTTTAAAAATCACTTCTTTTCTTCTTCTCCTCCTCTTTCCCTGTCCCTTTCCTTCTCTTTATTTCTAAAGCACATAGGTGATACACTTTCTGCATCCTTACATGCCTAAAATACATTATTTTTGCTTCCAAACATGAATGATCTTTTCACTGGTTATAAAAATCAAGGGTCTCAATTCTTCTACCTCAAAACTCTATTCCATCGTCTTTTGTTATAGAAGAAAAGATAGACTGATTCTGTTTGTTTTTGGTAATTTTCTTTCTCTCTGATTTTTTTTATCCTCTTGAATAAACAAATTTGCAAATGGGACTGTCATTTTGGGCTGCTACAACAAAGTACCATTGACTGGGTAGCTTAAAAACAACAGAAATTTATTTCTGACAGTTCTGGAGGCCAGAAGTCCCAAGATCAGGGTGCCAACATGGTTGGGATCTGGTGAGACCTTCTGCCAGGTTGCAGACTCTTGTTTATATCCTCACCTGGCAGAGAGAGCAGAGAGGAAGCAAGCTGTCTTACGACTCTTATAAGGGCATTAATCCCATTCATTGAGACTCCACCTGCATGTACTCATCCAATTCTAATTACTTCCCGCAGGCGCTCTCTCCTAATGCTATCACATTGGAGGGTAGGGTTTCACCATATGTATTTTGGGGATACACAGACATTCAATCCATAACAGGGACATTTTTTTTTTTTTTTTTTTAAAGATTTTATTTATTTATTTGACAGAGAGAGACACAGGGAGAGAGGGAACACAAGCAGGGGGAGTGGGAGAGGGAGAAGCAGGCTTCCCACAGAGCAGGGAGCCTGATGCGGGGCTCGATCCCAAGACCCCGGGATCATGACCTGAGCCTAAGGCAGCCGCTTAATGACTGAGGCACCGAGGCACCCCTCAGGGACATTTCTTAATATGATTTTTGTCTCTCAAAAAAATGCAGACTTGGGTAAAGAATTAGTATCCTATATAACATCATGATCAACACTGAATGGTTGAGGTAAGAGCAAATCTTTATTATCTTGTCCAAATCACCCAATAATATGGATAACATTAGACTGAATAGGAATATTGCTATTACAGGGATCAGTAACATTCAAAGATGTGACTATGGCCTTTACCCAGAAGGAATGGGAGCAGCTAGATCCTGCTCAGAGGAACCTGTATAAGGATGTGATGCTGGAGAACTACAGCAACCTTGCCTCAATGGGTAAGGACAATTCTTTCATAATTCAAAATGTGTCCACTGTAATACCTTCTCTCTGAAGTTCTTGATAAGTTTGGCCTTGGCTATTATGAATCAAAGAGTTTTAATCCCTTTGGGTATGAGGCAGGGTACTTGTGCCCCTGTCTCCAAAATGGAAGGTCTACTTAGACAGGGTACATGGGCAGCCACATTGTGAAATTTCAGAAGCCATATATTCTTTCTTTCCTCCCTTCCTTCCTTCCTTCCTCCCTCCCTCCCTCCCTCCCTCCCTCCCTCCCTCTCTCTCTCTCTCTTTCTCTCTTTCTCCTTAGAAGCCATATATTCTTTATCCTCTCAAGGCTCTGAAGTCCAAATATTAGGGCTTGATTTCTGGGATGTTTGTTTTCCTAACACTCAATTTCTGCCATTTCTCATGAGCAGGGTATCAAGCTCCCAAACCAGACATGATCTCCAAGTTGGAAAAAGGAGAAGAGCCATGGTTGGGGAAGGGCAAAAGACCCAGACAAGGTGGTCCCAGTGAAATAGCAAGACCCAAGCAAATAGGAACCAATGGAAGTAAGTTTCTAATTTTTTGGTGGTAACTTCGGAATTCTTCAATGAATAATTTATTTTTTAAATCTTCTTCAAGATCTTAGACCCTTTTCTCTTAACCAGGAGTAGCAGTTGAAAAATATCAGAATTTCTTGGGGAGGAGGAGTTCAAACTACAAAGATTCTCTAACCTTAGAGGTTCTAATCTCTCTTCTGTCTATGAACCTCTTCATTGTGTGAGGTTCTCATATGAGGGTCATTATAGTTGTAAGCCAGTGTTACTCATGGGAGTTTGCTTATACCACTTGTATCAGTTAGCTTAGGCTAAGTTCTGCCCTATTAAGGAATGCCCCTAAATCTTAGTGGCTTCCAGCAAGAAAGATTTGTTTCTTGCTCATGCTGTAGCCTTATTCCACATTATCCTTTGGACCTATACTGAAAGAGCAGTCCCTATTTGGCAAATTCTGGTCTCATGGCAGAAGGAAAGAAGAATGAGTAGAACCACTGATGACTCTTAACATCACTGATTGGAAGTGGTAGATATCTCTTTCTGCTCACATTTCATTGGTTAATTGGTTAGAGTAGATCACCTGGCTACTCCTAAGTTCAACAGGTAGGAATGTATATTCCTTCCACAGGGAGGATTCAAGGGACCATGCAATGGGTCTGGGAGGTACAATCTTTCCACAAGGAACAGTAATACAGTCTGCCACACCATGAGTATTGTGGTACGAAAAAAGGTGAAAACCAGAGCTCTGAACCTCTGGTACCAGCCCCTCAAATGCCTAGCTGACCCTTCCTTATTGTCTTTCCTCATCCATGCTCTCCATCGCTCAGCTTCCAGGAAGGAGCAGTAACCCCTCTTAGCTGTTCTCAGAATCCCATTACAGCTTACCTTATTTGAAGCAGTGCTGTTTTTTATTATCTTCTTTTTTCCTAATATCCTCAGTTTTTTCCCTTCATCCACTCAAACTCTGGGACTCCATGGTATCACATTTCTCTCCTTATATGTTCAAACCTTCTTAGATCCATCCTCTTTCCAAATCTCTTGGCATGATGTTCCCCTGCCTTTAATTATTTTCCATTTCCCTCCTTTTCACTGTGAAATGCTCTAAACTTGTGGTCTATAGTGCATCATTATTTCCATTTACTTGTTACCCTATGCAATCAGATCCCACAGAATTCATGCCTGTATGTAAATTTCTGGCTTCCCTTCCAGTGCATATTTTAATAGTTTTGGTCAGCATAAAATTCTTGCCTGCCTGGCTTGAATTACACCACTTGAATCTGGTCTTCTCTTCTAAGTGTTTCTTTACATTTATTTCACCAGATTCTCTTCCTTCTCACTTTGCTGAAGTGTCCCTAAGGTTTTGTCTTCTACTATCTCTTCTTTTTTTTTTTTCTATCGTATTTCCCTCGAAGACTCTTTGGATTTCAATTCTAAATTCCTAGGAGTGAGGATATTATTGGTCTAGGTAGGGCCCTTGAAAGAATCAAGCTATTTATTCTATACTGGTGACTTTTAAGGTAAATTTATCTTGTCCAGATAAATCTCCAGTTTCTTCATGTTGCACTCATATTTCACCTGCTTCCAGGAAAGTTCAATCTCACAGTGTCAGAAATGGAAAGCTGTGTCTTTTTGCCTTTCTTTCTAAATTAGAGCTTTCTTTCACCTTCCCTATTTTTATCAGGGTCTACTTTGATTTTAGGCCTGTGTACCATGGAGTTCCTGTGAATCTCTGCTTTCTGCCTTCTCTTTTACTGTCCTTGCCTCAGTTCCTGGTTTGTTTGTTTGTTTGTTTGTTTTCTTCAGTTCTCACAGACATCACCCAAATGAGGTGTATATTATCTCATACCTAAATTGCTCCAATTCTTAGGCTGATTTGTTGGCTCCATTTTTTGTTTCTTAGATTCCTCTTATATGTTGCCACCAAACATTAAAATATTCAGTTATTATTTATATCACTATAGTCCCCCAAATAGCAGAATGTTTACAATGTATTTTTAAGTGTCCTCTGAATTTTCCAAGACTCCATGAATTTCCTGAAACCAGAGGGACTAGTCCTTCACATGACAAATGAAGAGACCTCCTGGAGTTTTGGATTCATCCACTAGTGGCTCCAGTTTTGGCTATGTTTACTTTTCTCTCTGATACTTGGTGTTACAACTAAAAAATAGTCCTGAGTCATCTAATACATCTTTGTCATTGCTGCAGTGACTTTCTTCTTGGTTCAGGTTCTTATATAGTACTTGGAGTTTCTTCAAGGAATGACTGTTCTATTCCCTCCAATGATTTGCTGAGTGTAGTGAGCTATATACTTCAGTTCCTGAAGTTACAGTCATTTTAGCTTAAAATTCATGTTTTAGTTACTGTCTCAGATTCAGGACAAGCTTACAGCTTTTTTTTTTTTTTTATTTATCTGAGAGAGAGAGAATGAGAGATAGAGAACACGAGAGGGAAGAGGGTCAGAGGGAGAAGCAGGCTTCCCGCCGAGCAGGGAGCCCGATGTGGGACTCGATCCTGGGACTCCAGGATCATGACCTGAGCTGAAGGCAGTCGCCCAACCAACTGAGCCACCCAGGCGCCCCAAGCTTACAGCCTTAATCACATGCTCTGTCACACCCAACTCTCTCCTAGTATTACCTTATTATTATACCATTTCACTAGTTCAGGTTCTTTTCTTTTCCCCCCCTCATGGTAAATTTCTCTCATAGTGCTTTATATCTTTTCCTGTTGGCCAATTTCCATCATCATAAGGGGTTCCTATAATGTTATACCTCAAGGGGTGTAGTTTTGAGCTTTTAAAAATTTTTTTTATTGTTATGTTAATCACCATACATTACATCATTAGTTTTTGATGTACTGTTCCATGATTCATTGTTTGTGCATAAGACCCAGTGCTCCATGCAGAATGTGCCCTCTTTAATACCCATCACCAGGCTAACCCATCAGCCCACCCCCCTCTAGAACCCTCAGTTTGTTTTTCAGAGTCCATCGTCTCTCATGGTTTGTCTCCCTCTCCGATTCCGCCCCCCTTCATTCTTCCCCTCCTGCTATCTTCTTCTTCTTCTTTTTTTTAACATATATTGTATTATTTGTTTCAGAGGTACAGGTGTGTGATTCATCAGTCTTGCACAACTCACACTGGGGACGGTATGTGCTATGGTGAGCGCTGTGAATAGTTTTCAGTTTTGATCCCTTTCTTCCCAGAAAGAGATTTGCCTCCATCCTTTCCAGCATCCTTGGGCATTGGAAGATGCTGTCTTTGTCATGCTCTTGTTATATTCTTTCCTCCAAAATGTTTGTATCACTTAAAATTTCCTAAATGAAAAAGCAGCTGGAAACTCTACTTCTCCCTGCTATATCTATACTTACAAAAATTGATCTTTTACTCCGTGGGAACTAATCTCTTAAGAATCCTTGATGAAAGGAATAGTATTTCCTGGCTTATATTCAAATACCATGACTCTTTTCTGTTTGAGCCCAGTTTTCACTTTATCCATGTAATGTTCCTTTACAACCAAGGCAGCTGTTCAATTTCTATTTTTTTCTTTCTTAGAGACTCATATCTGCTTTTCTCTTTGAGTCTGTTTAATTCCCACCCTAAAGATCTTTCTGCTTTTCCATGCACATAACTGAAAAAAGTCACCTCAAAATGGTAGTCTCAACTCTTAAGTTTTCGAATTTTTAAATATGTAGTATCCATACCTAGCTAAAAGAACTCTGGATTTCAGTTCTAAATTCTTAGGAGCGAGAATATTATTGGTCTAGGTAGGGCCGTCTGTTTACCACTGTCCAGTCAATTGTTTTCACCCAAGGGTTGGATCGTATGGTTCAAACATGGTTGCCTCCATTTGTCAGTGTGGATGGTGGTTTCATAGAAGCAACACACACTGGGAAGATAGCTTAAAATATGTCATTGTATAATGTGTGAAGGAAAGGATGTGAGCAATCACTTAACGCTGGGAATAAGCTTAAAATTTATAACTGGTAATTAGTAGAGTGACCTGGCAGAAGCAAAAGCATGCTCCATAGCAAACTGTTGGAAAACAAGCACACGTGTACATTGTAAATCCAAATGCTATAAAGTTTGTTTGCTAATCTCATTACTATCATGGCACTACTTTTATCATGGTAAAAGCAGCAGGGAACACAGGGAAATTGTAGGGTTGTTATTTTGGTTTTGAGGGTTTTTGTTTAGTACAGGCATGTCATTTTTATATTGATCATTGGTGGTGGCAGTGTAACACGCTTTCCCGCTTATTCCCTTAGTCGCCTATAAGCTGTTCAGTATTTCTTGATAGACTTACCTTATTTTCTCTGTTTTGGCTCTTTGGAGTGCAATAACAAATGACAAATAACAATAACCTGAGCTGGCCTAAGTAAATAGAGGAATTTATTATAAGGACATATGTTTATCTCTTGTAACCTAAAAGCTGATACTTCAGCCAGACCCTACCAGGGACTAGAACTAGAATTGGGAAGCCATCAGCAATTGGGGTTATGTAAATGGTCTCTTTGAGGACACATGATCTTACATCTCTTTCCCTGTGGATATATGCTTCGTTCTTTGTACTGATGAACCTTCTGCTTACACAGGGAAGATATGACTTTACTATTTCTTGTCTTATATCCTTGTAAAACCCAGGGGAGACTAACTAGAGTTGAAATTTTTAGGAAGAAGACTCTTATTGGACACCGTGGCTTGGGCCAGGTGTGTCTCCAACTGTGACCATGGAGAGTTGACTTAATATAGTACAGGCTGTGGGAGCCAAATTCTATGGATGGATTGGCTGTTATCAAAGCTGGGAAGCTTGGGCTGAGGAGAAATCTCAAAAAATATCACCTACAATCACAAGCTCCTCTAACTTCATCTGTTACCTAGTCACTGCTCCTTGTGTTTATTTCATCTTCCATCCCACGTTGCAAGGTCATATTTATAAACAGGCAAAGTTTTGTCTAATTTCTATCGTCAATTAGCTTTTTTTGTTTTTCCTACAGCACTTTCCCCTCAAGCCCAAGAGCTTAGAGACATTTGCACTTGATATTTCACTCACTTTGGGATACTAGGCTTGAGTAAAGATTCAGCCCCCACAATAGGACATTTCTTTTATAAGTTGTGTTCCAAAATATGAGAGGGCAAAGATTGACAAGAATGTCTTATTGAATTCCATTTTAGACGAGGTCCAGCAAGGTAATGACCAGCTAGCGAACCACCAGGAATCTCAAAATAAACTCCTTAAGGAAGTTGCATTCAAGAAAAGAAGTCTGACTAAGAAGAAAGGCCATGAATGTAGTTCACTGGGGGAAAAAAGTGTGAGTACAAAACACGTTCCTTCAAAAAAAAAGCTTAAATTCGATTCACATGGAAAGAGTTTGAAACAGAATTCAGACTTACCTGGTCGTATAAGAAACTATGCAAAAAAGAAACCTAGCATAGCTAAAGAGCACAAGAAATCATTCAGCCATAGCTTACCTGATACAAAGAAAGATAAAAATCAAACTGGAAAGAAACAAAAATTATCCAACCATAGCTTATCTAATAAGCATGACAAAACTCAAACTGGCAAAAAACATGAGAAATTAGCTCATCATAGCTCATCCGATACTAAACGGGACAAAATTCAAACTGGAGAGAAACATGAGAAATCATCTAGCCATAGCCCGTCTCCTACTAAGTGTGACAAAACTCAAACTAAAGCTAAACCCTATGAATGTAATCAATGTGGGAAGGTTCTCAGCCATAAACAAGGACTCATTGACCATCAGAGAATTCATACTGGAGAGAAACCATATGAATGTAATGAATGTGGGATAGCCTTTAGCCAAAAGTCACACCTCGTTGTACATCAAAGAACTCACACTGGAGAAAAACCATATGAATGTATGCAGTGTGGCAAAGCCCACAGTCATAAACATGCCCTTACCGACCATCTGAGAGTTCATACTGGGGAAAAGCCCTATAAATGTACTGAATGTGGGAAAACCTTTAGACACAGCTCAAATCTTGTTCAACATGTGAGATCTCATACAGGTGAGAAGCCCTATGAATGTAAGGAATGTGGAAAATCCTTTAGGTATAACTCATCTCTTACTGAACATGTGAGAACTCATACAGGTGAAATACCATATGAATGTAATGAATGTGGAAAGGCCTTTAAGTATAGCTCATCCCTTACTAAACATATGAGAGTTCATACAGGTGAGAAACCCTTTGAATGTAATGAATGTGGGAAAGCTTTCAGCAAGAAGTCACACCTCATTATACATCAAAGAACTCATACTAAGGAGAAGCCCTATAAATGTAATGAATGTGGAAAAGCATTTGGACATAGCTCTTCTCTTACTTACCACATGAGAACTCATACAGGTGAAAGTCCTTTTGAATGTAATCAGTGTGGGAAGGCCTTCAAACAAATTGAGGGCCTTACTCAACATCAGAGAGTTCATACTGGGGAGAAACCCTATGAATGTAATGAATGTGGGAAAGCTTTTAGCCAAAAGTCACACCTCATTGTACATCAGAGAACTCATACTGGGGAGAAGCCTTTTGAATGTAATGAATGTGGAAAGGCTTTCAATGTGAAGTCACAACTTGTTATACATCAGAGATCCCACACTGGAGAGAAACCCTATGAATGTAATGAATGTGGAAAAGCTTTCAAACAAAATGCATCCCTTACCAAACATGTGAAAACTCATTCAGAAGAAAAATCTCATGAGTGAAATTAATGTGGGAAGTCTTTTAATTCAACTAAAGGTTTTATTTAACCTTAGTAGGATTCTGAATTTTAAGGATGTTAGAAAGCTTTTAATAAAAAGTCATACCTAATTACACATGAGAGAGTTTGAAAGTGAATCTTACATAGAAGCAATGGATGATACCAACCTTTTATAGAAAATATTGTTTTAAAAATAATTATTAATTATTTATATATTCAGACCAAAATATAAGGCTTTAAAAATCGTTAATGAGCTGAATAATCAGAGCAAAAGAGAAACAAATTATATATGCTGACAATTCCTGAGTTGCTTGAGTATGTGCACTTAAGCTCCACATCTGAGAATTGAATTTGCACACCTGTTAATTTCCATATATAAGTGTGTCTGGCCACTGGTATGAGCCTCATCTTTGATGTTATCACCTAGCTCTTCCTTAATGTCTTTGTTAGCTTCTACATCAGCTGCATACTTTCTAAAAGTTATTTATGTAAAAAATATTAACACAAAATTAAGAAAAAAATAAAGGAAAGCAGCCAAGGATAGGGACATCATTCCCTACCAGCACCTGTGTATTGTTAAGTGAATAAAATTGTTAAGTGAAAAAAGCAGGTTGCTGAACTGTGTGTGTAGTATGTTCCCACTTATGTACAAAAGGGTGTGTTTGCCTGTGTGTGTGTGTGTGTGTGTGTAAGTATATATACATATATTTGTATGTGAATAGACTTGGTTTGAAAAAATACAGAAGAAACTTTATGGTGGTTGTCATGAGCAGAGGAGTACAGGAATGGGGGCTAGGATGGGAAGGAGACCTCCTTTTTATTATATACTGTTTGAAATTTTAAATAATGTACATGTGTTATTTTCACAATTAAAATGTTTTTAATATGCATACATCAACACTGATTAAAATTTTCACTGAGCTCACTCCATGGTGTTGTTTGATGAAGTGAAAGTGTCTATGCCTATTATGAAGGGTGATGAATCTGAGGATATGGTATTAAACTTGATATTGAATTCACAAAGACTTTTCCTATCAAACACATCTTTTTATTAAAATAATGAATTACAACTATAATTGAGCACCATGTTTCTTCTATATGCCATATTTTTAAAAGACTGAAGATAAATTGTGATTGCAGGTGAATGAAAGTGATCTTCTGAACAGTCACTCCATTTTATCACATATTCAGAGCACTTATATACAAACACCTGAATCTGGGATTTCAAATGTATTGCAACAAATACCACTACTTCCTGTTCTTGCTCAATAGCAGACATTGTTAATGGATCACTGCACTTTTTCTGAGTGAACCTAGACTTGGCCTCAGAGTCATTCTTAAGCATGCATTCCAGAAGGTACTGTGAATCAATTTGGGTTTCCACATGAGACCTATTTTCTACTGCATACCTATTTACTATTATTATTTTTTACTCATAAGTCATAGATAAAAAAATACAACTGAATTGTTTTTAAATTGTTACACCAAAAACAGTGACATAAGGACAAAAATGGTTTTGTTATATAAGGTAATAATATTGGGCATGCATGTCACCTTTTACATTTTCACAGCACATTGACTACATTTCCTTATTTGTTCTTCAGAACAAACATATGGGTCAATAAGCAAGACTTTTCTAGTGGTCAATTCTGCTCAATAAATATTTCACCTGGATACTAGTCTAGCATAATGATGGACCCTCAACAAATAAGTGATTAAGTGCCATCCTTGCAAATACTTCGCATTCAAGTTCCTGCCTTCCTGATTTCCTCATTTCAGAGAATTAACAGATGTAAGTACTGAGAATGAAATTATGTGTGTGTGCGTTCATGTGTGCACACATGCATTGAAAAATCAACTCATGGATGTTAGAACCTCATTTCCAAGTAACTTATTTACTCTCAGAGAAGGAAAGAGCAATGTGAAAGCCATTTTCCATCAGTAACTTATAACCACGTGGAAGTTTGGTACTATGCACTGAATGAATCCTCACTGTCCAGAGCTGTGGAAAATCTGCACTTTTTAGAAGGATAAAACAGTTGCATGTTATGGCTATGTTAAATTCCCCACACCTCTTGGAGAACCCATAATAGTACCATACCTGGGACAGTATGCCTGAGTAGTAGAAATGAATGCTGAAAGTCATCCTGTAGAGTAAGAAAGGAATTAAAAGTCAGCATCAATAAATGAGGAAGTGATGTCTAAAAGATTATTGGAGGCGAAGGATGAAAGAAAATAGACATACAGAAATGAGTCTAAATCAATGATAAAATGTATCAAAATTGCCTGGAGGGTTTGTTAAAACAGACTTTAGAAATGGGCCCCACCCACAGAGTTTCTGATTCAGTAGGTCGGGGTGGGGGGGGTGGCTGAGATTTTGTATTTTTTAATAACTTGCCAGGAGACACTGGTGCTGCTGGTCTGGGGACCACACTTTGAGAAACTGATTTAAATCATTGTTGAAGTGAATTTAAAAAGTATTTAAAAATGTTTCTGAGATATTTCTTTAACATGAAGATAATGTTTATATACACAAATACATATGTTAGAAAATGCATAATATCACCATCATTATGTAGACAGTGATTTTTTCAGGATTGTCAGTTTGTAAGTTTTATGTTTTTCTAAATAATTTTTCTATTTTCCTGAATTTATTTTGTTGTAGTGAATTTTCATTACTGGGGTATGGCCAAGTAGAGTCGTACTAATCCTGACCCTCCCACAGAAAACAGTTATAAACTCCTGACAAAACCACATACACACACATGCGCGCGCGCACACACACACACACAACCAATGACCTGAAGGTATTGGAGAGTGAACAAAAGCAGATTATGGGAAAGAGTTGAAACTTGGAAGAAGGGAATATAGGAGGTTAGATCACAGCTTTTAGCCTGAGGACACACTGAAGTTGGTGTGGTGGGGGCAGGGGGCGTAATTTGATAGAAAACATGCAGTCTTTTTAAGATGAAAAACCACAGGACTGACTTCAGGGCAACCACAGCCACTTGGAAAGTGAGAGGAGAATCCCAGAAAAGAGCGACTCAAAGAGGGGGTAATCCAAATTCTGTGAATAAATTCTGCCCAAATATCTGACTGACCCCTGAACTATGCATATTTGGCACAGATGCCTAACGCTTCAACTAAAGACAAGAGAACTGAGCTTTTATTTGTGCTGCTGCCCCACAGACTTAGTTTGAAGTTTGAGCTCAACCATGCTAATTACTTGATAAAACAAAAATATTAATACTCTTCAGAGAAATAGAATCCAAACTCTCCACAACTTAGAATTCATGATATATAGGATATAAGAAAAACTTACTTGACAGTCAAAGAATTAAGAAATTGCAACCCCATTTCAAGAAAAGAGACAACCAACCCCGAAGTTGGAATGAACATATGAGGATATTAATATAATTATTATAATGGTGCTTAATGAAATAAAGATATATATGCTCACAGTGAATAAAGATTTTTTTAAAACTAAGCAAAGAAATAGAAACTATGAAGAAAAACAAAAAGAAAATTCTAGAACTTAAAAATACAATGTCTTAAATTTAAATTTCACTGGGTAAGTTTACCAGCAGAATGAAAATGACAGAGGAAGGGGTGACTGAACTTGAAATAGCTCAGTAGAAATGATTCAAAGTGAGGGGGAAATGATTGAAAAGATAGGAAGAGAACCTCAGTGACTTGTAGGACAATAACAAAATGTCTTGAATATGTGTAGCTGACGTCCCAAAAGGAGAGCAAGGAAAGAGTGGGATACACAAAATATTTGAAGATATAATGGTTGAAATTTCCCCAAATTTGGTAAGTGATATAAATGTACTGATCGAGAATCTCAGTGAACCCTAAGCAGGTTAAGTGTGAAGAAAACCATGATTCACTGCTCAGTGAACTCTAAGCAGGTTAAGTGTGAGGAAAACACATCCTAAACAAGCTGCCAGAACCTAAAGATAAAAATAAAATCTGGAAAGCCCCGGGAAAACAACCCATATGTGATAGAAAACGATTTTAATGATTGGTGACTTACTATCAGAAACTGTGGAGGCCAGAAGACAGTAGATCAGTAGATCCTTAAAGTGGTATGGAAAAACAAAACAAAACCCTCCAACCTTGAATTCTGTATCCAACAAAAGTATCCTTCAAAAATGAAGGTGAAGTAATGACATCTTAGATAAAAGAATTAGAGAATTTATCCTCAGAAGACCATAATGTTTTTCAGGTTGGAAAAAATGATACCAAATGGAAACTCAGCTCTTCAGGAAGCACTGAAGAGCATGAGAAATGGTAAATATGTAAGTAAATATAAGACTATTTTAACCTCTTCATTTCTTTAAAATATTTAGGATTTTTTATTTTTTTAAAAAAGATTTTATTTATCTGACAGAGGAACAAGCTGGGAGAGCAGCAGAGGGAGAAGGAGAAGCAGGCTCTCCACTGAGCAAGGCTTGATTCCAGAACCCTGGGATCATGACCTGAGCCAAAGGCAGACATTTAATTGACTGAGCCACCCAGGCACCCCCTTAGGGTTGTTTAAAACAAAACTTATAACATTGTCTTATGTGGATTGTAAGGCATTTAGATGCAATACATGTAACAATGCTAGCATGAAGAATGGGGGCAGGCCTATAATGTAGGAATGTGTCTAAATTTTATGTGATTTGGTACAATATCAACTTCAAGTAGACTATGAATGTCAAAGATGATAGAGCAATCCCTAGAGAAACCACTGAAGAGTAAAGCAAAGAGGTATAGTCAAAAATATAACAGATAAATTTATGAACCTCTAAAAAGTATTTTAAAATTCATAATGGAAATAGGAAGGGAAATACAGAAGAAGAAAATCAAAGGAGACAAACATACAAATAATAAGATGGTGGACCTAAATCCAATCTCAGCAATAATTACTTTAAAAGTTAGTGAACTAGGGCGCCTGGGTGGCTCAGTCGGTTAAGCGACTGCCTTTGGCTCAGGTCATGATCCTGGAGTCCCGGGATCGAGTCCCACATCGGGCTCCCTGCTTGGCGGGGAGTCTGCTTCTCCCTCTGACCCTCCCCCCTCTCATGTGCTCTCTCTCTCTCTCTCATTCTCAGTCTCTCAAAATAAATAAATCTTTAAAAAAAAAAACACGTGAAAATCCTTAAAAAAAAAAAAGTTAGTGAACTAAACTCTCCAGTGAAAAGGCAGAGATTTTCGTAATGGGATAAAAAAGCAAGACCCAATTTTATGCTCTGTACAAAGTCTAGACTTTAAAAAGACACAAAGAAGTTAAAATTAAATGGATTGAAATGATATACAAATACATACAAAGGCATGAATGGCTATGTTAATAGCAGACAAAACAGACTTCTCAATAAAAGTATTAACAGAGATAAAGAGGGCCAATTTAAAAAGATTAAAGGATTAATTCCTCAGGAAGACATAAGGTTCATGAACATTTATGCACCTAAAACAGAGCTCCAAAATACAAGAAGCAGAAATTGAAAAAACTGAAGAGAGATATAAAAAATTCCACAATCATAACTGGAGATTTTTACATCCTGCTCTAGGCAGCTCATAGAACAGCTAGACAGAAAAATCAGTTAAGATAGGGGCACCTGGATAGCTCGGTTGAGTGTCTGACTCTTGATTTCAGCTCAGGTCATGGTCTCTCAGAAGAGATTAGTGGGATAAACTATAGCTCAAGCTGCTATAGCGGTCCCAAGGTTATAACAGATAACTCATCATTTCACTTCTCCACTTTCCATTCTCATCTACCTCTGCTGACATAAGACCCTGGCCATTATGCCCTTCTCAGACCTGAACCTGTACATTTACGGCACAATCGGGCAAGGGTACCAGGTGGATCAATGGGTTCTGTGTTTTCTTCCCTGCCCACATTGTGTGATAGCAGCTCACTTTCTACTGACATCAGGGTTATTCACCTCTTCTAAGATAGTGATACGTCCCTCCTCTTGCCTGCTGGTTCCTGAACACAAAGAACTCAGAGTACTTAGGCATCAACCTGAAGTTCCTGTACGGGATGCTGATGTAACAGTGGTGGATGCCATGTGCTTGCTTATATCTGCTGTTCCTGAATGTTCCACTTGCATCTTAAAATGGATATTTTCTAAACCCACTTAATTCATGACTTGATGGTTTTGACAGGTTCTACCCCATACTGGGTCGTTCTGGTGGAGTAGTCATTTAGTGTCGCATGGTCATGCATTCTGTCTTTACCTGGGTGCGATAGCCTGCCAGCAGATGTTTTACAAAAGCATCTAATCCTCCACCACGGATGGCCTGGCCTTGCTCCAAAATTTGAGGAGCCTATGTTGTTCTCCTACTGTGGCTTGCCACGAACTCCACATGGTGTCCATTCCCCACCACTGATACCACCAATACCAAGGGTTAAATAAACATCAGCTGAATATGTAGGTGAGAGTCTATATCTGAACTCTGTGTTCCATTTATCTATTTATCTATTACATTAAACTGATGCCAATATTACATTAAATTGATTCTTGTAACTTTATACTAAGTTTTGAAGCCAGGTAAAGAGAGTTATCCCTTCCACTTCATTTTTCTTTTTTAAAGTTGTTTTGGCACATATTATATTTTGAGAGTATTGCCAAATGTCTGCCACCCATCTACATGTATGTGTGAATAATTCCATACTTGATTTCTTCATATTGGATAATATCAATTTAAAAAATTTTATCAATATGGAAAAGTTCATTGTTTAATTAACATATCTTTAATTATTATTGAGGTACCTGTCCTTTTTTCCATTGGATTTTTGATCTGTGTCTTTTTAATTGTCTGAAGACATGTGTTTCATTGGAAATAATTCAGTCTTTGACAGTCTTTGACCTGCTTAAATTCTCTTGTGTGTTAAAAACACCAGCTTGTAACCTGAATTCTCATCTTTCTCTCCCTTACTATACAAGCTTCTTGAAAACTGGTGTTACCCTGGTGTTTCTACTTCCTCAGTTCACATTTATACTTCAGTGCAATTTGGTAGGGCTCTGTTTTCATCATTACTGTGACACAATTTCTAAAAAAACCCGCCTTGCTAATTATTAAATCCAAGGGACATTTTTGTCCTTATCTTAGTGGATGTTTGGTTGCGTCTGACATTTGATGCTTCCCTCTTCCTTGAAATATTTCACCATTAGTTCCTCTGACACCATTCTTCTTGATCTTCTGCTCCCTCCCTCTCTCTTCCTTTCCCATCATCAGTTCCTCTTTCTTTTATCCCTCACCAGTTGAAATTTTCCAGGGCTCCACCCTAGGTGTCTTGTTTTTTCCATTGTATGTGCTTTCCCTGATTGATTGCATCTGTTTTCTATAATAATCTATAAGAACCACCAGTTTTAGATGCATTTTGATTATATTTGATTGACTGAAGGCAGTATTTATATTATAAATTTGTATAAAAGTAAATAGCTATCACACATTTGCACACATCTGCTGCACATAAGATTCTATACATTTTTTTTTCCTGATGTGCATTATACCATTTCCATGGATTGTCTGGCCATGTTTCCTCTCACCTTATAAGCCAGCTGAGAGTAGAGTGGAATATTAAACAGAACACCCCCCACCCCACCCCCACACAACATGATTAACCTGGACTATTTGGACAGTAAGAATTATTTTCATTGCTTAAGTAAGATGAAGTATCATAAGCTAATGAGAGTAACATAAAAATTCACCAGAAAGTATTCAATGTAGATGTGTACAACTCTAAAGCGAGAAAGTACACTTATCTGGATTATGAAATAAAACATCTTTCATTATTTTATCTATGTATTTTGCTCTATCTTGTGTATCTCTGTTCCTATCTCTAGGGTGATCCCACATCACAGATTGCCCAGAAGAGGTTTGGTGCCCCTTGTCCAGATACAGTTATTAATAGCACCTCTGTTCACTGTCAAAGCTGTCCTGGGTTGGATGACAAATTATATTGATATCTTTGTCTCTTTACCAACAGAAATTAATTGATATTCAAAAGACATTCATTGAAGTGTAGTGTAGTGGCTAGGAGCATAAGCTCTGAGTTAGACTTTGGGAGTTTACATCTTGGCTACACCACTAACCTGCTATGTGACCTTTTGGTGCCTCAGATTCCTTCTCTGTATAAGAGGGATAATAATGGTTTCTCCCTTAGCATTAAATTAGATCAGGGGTCAGCAAACTTTTTCTGTAAAGGAATAGATAGTAAGTCTTTTAGACTTGGTAGGCCATATGGTTCTTGTCACAACTACTCAACTCTACCATTAAAACACAAAAGCAACCACAGACAATATGTAAATGAATGAGCATGACTGTGTTCCAGTAAAACTTTATTATCAAAACGGACAGCAGGCCAGATTTGCCTCAGGGCTGTAGATTGCAGACTCCTGAATTAGATTATATATGTAAAAAAGCTGTTAATTTGGGGCCTCACAAAGCATAAGAACCTTGCTTGGTTTTGGCATGGGATTTACCCCCAAAATAGGAGTGTGTGGGAATTCCTAAAAGAAGGAACCACCTGAACAAAGATGTAGGGATGGGATTAGTCTGCTATCAAGCATGTAAGAAGTGGTATATAACTGCTGTTCTGTTGAGACTGCCCTTCTTCACCTTGTTTTCCTGACAAACTCCTGCTCCCCTTCCAAGACTCAGGTTTTAAACTTTTTTTTTAAAGATTTTATTTATTTATTTGACAGAGAGACAACAAGAGAGGGAACACAAGCAGGGGGAGTGGGAGAGGGAGAGGGAGAGGCAGGCTTCCCACCGAGCAGAGAGTCTGACGCATGGCTCGATCCCAGGACCCTGAGATCATGACCTGAGCCGAAGGCAGATGCTTAACTGACTGAGCCACCCAGGCACCCCCCAAGACTCAAGTTTTAAAATCATGTCCTTAGTATCGTGAGAGCCCTTCCCCACACCCCCACCACTACCACCTGGTCCCTAACCTAGCTAGTTACCTCTTACTGTGCCCACAGCACCAGTCATGCTTCTGTCGGATCACTCATCACACTACATTGTCACTCTCAGACTCTGAGCTCCTTCCTTGCATTACCAAGCATGACAATAATGAATATGTGTGAGTGAAGGAAGAAATGAGCTTTACATTATGGTGGAAGACTCAGTAGACATGAATATGTATTAAACAAAAAAAGGGAAACTAAGCTGATTCTGACAGTCTTGCCCTGAGTAGCTGTCAGACCCCAGGGGAGAAAAGACACAAATACTGCAAACCCCAGTACCAGGCAGTGATGACTGGGATACAGGAAAGCATACACAGCTGTCCCTGTAAGGAAGGCACAGATACCAAGGGGCTCTGGCAAAAACTTAGAACAGGATATTGGAGCCCAGCTTTAAAGCACAAATAGAACTTTTCCTGACATAAAGTTGCGGAGGACATTCCAGAAGCATGACATCCACTGTATCCGACTTAAAGAGCTGCGTCAACCCTGAGAATTAATTCATAGTGTCGTTCAGCATCAGTTAGGGCTGGATATTTTGTAGTGATGTTCAAAGATAAACTAAGACATATTAAAATTTTTAAGCTTATTTGAGCTTAAAACTGACTCAAATTGGGCAGCACCAAACCACAAGTGGTAAGAAGTCCTCCACTGACAAGAGCTAGAGGCAAGACTTTTATAGAAAAGACCTAGAAGCAAAGCAAGGAAATTATTTGATTGCCTATAGTTTAAGCAGTTGTATTATTTGGGAAAGCCTCGTTTGTGGTTGTCCTTAGGTTTTAATTTCTTAACCTTGAGGCATTTACAGGCTTAGGTTTGGGTTTGCTAAGGCCTTAGAACCACCTCAGTCTATTAGCCTCCTTATTTAATTTAACATTAATAATGCTACTATATGGTATTTATTATTTTTAAAAAACTGCATGCGTTCTGAAGTGCTTTTCATTGACACTGACGCTGAAATTTTCTTCTTTATGTCAGCAAACATTGAAATACCCAAACGAGTATTTCACGATCTTCTTCTGCTTTACAAATGAGAGACCTGACGGAAAGGGGCTGGCCCAAAGCCACAGAGCAAGTTCAAGACCAGGTTGAGAAGAAGACCTAGGGGTTCTGAATCATCCTACAGAGTTTATCCTCAATCATTTCCCCTCTGCTGCTATCCGATGTGTCTTCAGCAGGGGCAGAGTCTGCCCATCCCAATCTGGGAAAGCATTCCCAGAAGAGGACATTTGAATTTCATTTTCCAGGATGGCAGGCTGGAGGTCACCAGATGAAAGCATTCTGACTTTCCCTCTCCCAGTGCTATCTCTCAAGGAGTATACTGCTCCATCCTGACTTTTCCACCTCAGTTAAAACCTAAATTAAATAACCTACCTCAGTACGCATACTATTATCATTACTATACCTAACATTGGGAAAGTGAGGCAATGTGTTGTAGATCAACTGACTCGGGCTGAGACTCATGCTCCTCGTTTGCTTAGTAACAGGAGCGGCTCCTCTTTCCCCACCCTACTTCCCCATCTTTATTTTGCACCTTGCGCTGAGTTTCCATTTTCTACACATCTTAGCTGGAGAGATTCCCTGACTCCATCCTCAAAGACCTGGGATTTTTTCCTACTTTATGTTTTTGCTCCCAAATTGTCCCAGTACATCTTTTCAGTAGCTCCCGTATCCCAGTTCTAACTTCCCTTTCTCAGCATTCTCCGCTGTACGGCTCCAACATCTACTCGAAATATGGCGCCTCCCACTCGGACACACTTTCCGCTCGCCAGGCGCGGCCATATTAATCCCCCCGGCTCCGGCGAACTAAACACCCTGTAAGTCTCGCGATAGAAGCAGGTCGAGGGCTGTCCTTGCTTCCGCCGTTAACACCGGAGAGTCCGCAGCCCTGGCGACGGGAGGGGGCGGCCCTAGCGCTCAGCTGAGGGCACTTCAGGCGAGGCTGGGAGTTGAGGGGTCCGGTTCTCAGAAAAGGAAGTTTCAGTCACTGGCTGCGGTGTTGGGAGTAAGGGCATCATGTTTGATCAGCGACTGAGCATCTCTAGCGGTCCGTAATTTTCGTCTTAATTGTGGTTATTAATTAAACAGCCCCGCTCAAAATAGTGATTGCCGCCAGGTGGAGATCGGTATTTAGTGGTGCTGCCGGTAGTGGACTCTGAGGAGGTTCAGCGGCTGATTGGGAATTTGTGGGACTAGTGACTGGGCGTGTCTGTGTGATTCTGCGTCTCTCAGAGTCACGGATTGGGGTCACATAGAAATCAACGGTTGGGTCCTGAAGGCAGATATCCATCTTTAGGGTTATTTTGGATCAGTGTGTGGGGGTTGTAGTGGGCTACTGTTAGGAGCCTATTTGGTAGCTTGGGGAGCAGATGGCTTGCGACCAGTGATTGGGGCTCCAGCCCTGAATAATAATAGTCTGCGTTCAGGCTGCACTCCACACATATTGTGTGCTGGGTTTTCTTGTATGGGTTTTATGCATGTAAGGATATTAGGGTCAGGAGAGAGTTCCCATCCTCCCCCCGGAGGTTTTGTTTCCACCCTTGGATCTATCTGGTGAATTGACTTCCGGCAGTTTATATTCCCTACTACTGTCTTGTAGCTAGCTAAGTACTTCAAGCCGAAGTCTCTCAAAAAGCCTTTCTCAAAGCTGTGCCTTTTCCCTCTGCCTGTCTTTCAATCCATGTGCTCTCTCTGGATAATTTCAACCACACTCATTCTATCAGCTTCTGCCTTTAAAGGCATGACTTGCCAGTCTATAGCACCAGCCCAGACATTACTAACATGCTCCAGATTCACAATAGTCAACTGTCTCCACATCTCTGTGAGGTTTACTCACAGGAGCTCAACCTTAACGTGATGGAAATAGACTGTATCATCTTCCTTCTCCATACTTCACCTGCTCATCCTACTATGTTCATTGTTATGAATAGCGTCACTCTTCTTCTAGATGGCCATAGTATAAATCCTGGAGACCTCTAGTTTTCTCCCCACCCTTCTCCCCATGTTGGATCAATCTTCTCATCCTGGTGATTTTGCCTCCCTGACATCTCACCAGTTTGTCCTCCCCATTCCCACTGCCATGGTCTTAGTTCAGGCTTCATCATCCCTTGCCTTAAACCTCTATCAGGAAAACCCAGTATCAGAGTGTTGGACACTATGGGCAAGTCAGAGGAAGGAATGGCTGAGTCTATCCAGGAGACATTTGAAAAGGCTTTCTGGAGGAGGTGACATTTGAACTGAGCCTATACATTTGAAGTGGTCCTATAAGTCTATGGATGAGAGTGACTGTTACAGCTTATTGAATTTATTGAGCTAGTGAATTGTGCCCTTTAGAACTTCCTTGATATGAGTTTGGGTTAAGAGGTCAGTAGAATAATAACTGCTAAAAAGTAACAGTTTATTCTAGGAAAACTGGAAAATGAAAATGCTAAATACAACCCAATAGAAATCACTTGTAATTCTACCACCCAAAGGTAACCATAACATTTTGATGTATGCCCTTTCACACACTTTTTTTCTTTCGAATATATTTCTTTTCAATATATTTATTGTTTTATACCCTATTTTCTTGCTTTGTAATACAACAAGACCCTTTTTCCAAGTCTGTAAATACTTTTCTAAGATAATTTAATGGCTGTCTAGTATTCTATGCTTTGATGACTGATGTAACCAATCCCTATTGTTGAACATCTAGGTGGTTTCTACTTTTTAAGTGATCAAGCAGCATCGTGATGAATATCCTTGCAGATATATCTTTATGTACATCCATGCTTATTTTTTTTAGGATAAATATCTAATTATAGATTTATGGGGTCAAAGGAGGAGAAACTTCTTAAACATACAATGGGATACACATCCACAAAGATAAAACATACCATAGCCTGATGCTTTCAGAACTGTAATAGGTTGACGTTATCCCAGCATAATCTTTTGTGGTCCCTCAAAGGAAACTTTGAAAGGGGCAGTCTCTGAAAGGTAGTCTTTTATGTAGTTGGTTATAGGAATTTCTAGGCTCCTAATCCTGGGAATCACAGGGCAGGCCCAGATTCTCAAGGTGGTCTTCTTTTTATCCCCTCCCTGCTCATCCCAGCTCTGTCTTTACAGATATCTGTACCTTCTGAAGAGCAACAGAAAATGACCAATTCTCAGGTGAGTTATTTATATCCCATATTATTTTCCATTGTATTTGAGGCAGTTTAAAAGAATTAGTTCAATTAAATGAAAAAATGTAAATAGAGATCTGGGAAAATAAAATAGAAAATCTAGACCAAATAATGTGTGAAATATAATCATACAAGTTATAGGATCTTTTATAGTTATTAAAGTTGAGCATATGATCTACAATGATAGGATTTATATAACACAGTAAATATGATATTTTCTTGAGGGAAGTAAAGAATTTTTGGCATTTAGGTTTGAAATTATTCTCTTGATGCATACATATGATGTAGTAGGCAGTGTCTTTAACATTTTTTTAAAGATTATTTATTTATTTATTTATTTGAGAGAGAGAGAGAGAGAGAGAAACAGCATGAGAGGGGAGAGGGTCAGAGGGAGAAGCAGGCTCCCCGCTGAGCCGGGAGCCTGATGCGGGACTCGATCCCAGGACTCCAGGATCATGACCTGAGCCGAAGGCAGTCGCTTAACCAACTGAGCCACCCAGGCGCCCCAGTGTCTTTAACATTTACCAACCCATGATAAATTCCACAGGAGGCCTCCCCATAGCTGTTTCTTAAGTCATTTCTCAAAATAACTACAGGGCATCATAACAAGGCAGAATTCAATTTCTAGGCAGTAAAATCAGGGGGCCCAGGTACATAGCTGTCAAAAAATCTGTCTTGATCCATGAATAAAAGTTTGTGAAATTCGTCCAAGGAATTAATATTATTAAAGGTCATAATAGTATCAATTTTAATTTGCAGTTTTTAACCAATAAATAATGAAATATTTTTCCTTTAAAATGCAATAGGTTGGGGCGCCTGGGTGGCTCAGTTGATTAAGCATCTGCCTTCAGCTCAGGTCATGATCTCAGGGTCCTGGGATCGAGTCCCGCATCGGGCTCCCTGCTCAGTGGGGAGTCTGCTTCTCCCTCTCCCTCTATGCTCTCGCTCTTTCTCTCTCTCAAGTAAATAAATAAAATATTTTTTTTAAAGAATTTTTATTAAAGATTTTATTTTTTTTATTTATTCATGAGAGACAGAGAGAGATAGAGAGAGGCAGAGGGAGACGCAGGCTCCCAAGGAGCAGGGAGCCCAATGCGGGACTCGATCCCAGGACTCCGGGATCATGACCTGAGCCGAAGGCAGACGCTTAACCATCTGAGCCACCCAGGCGCCCAATAAATAAAATATTTTTTTAAAAATGCAGTAGATTGAGAGCCTCAAAGTGTGTATCAAGTGAGTATGCTTCATGGATAGTGGAAATCAAGTGAATTTGCTCATTTCTGTTGGTTTATCACTCAGCTAAACATTGCTAGCAAGCATCTTAGTGGTTGTGATTGTCATATGGTTTTAAATGTTTTTATTTGAAGATATATATCTAATTTTTATCTATCATGTTCCATTGGTTATACCCACTACATAGCACACAGTTTCAGTATAGTAGTCTTCAAAGCGGGGAGCATCCATTCCTTAGATGTACAAGGTGATCCCCTGAGGTATGGGGAGAAAAGAACTACCTACATATCTTTTTTTTTTTTTTTTTTTTTAATTTTAGAGAGAGATGAGTGAGAGAGCACGGGTGCGGGGAGGGGCAGAGGGAGAGGGAGAAATTGAATCTCAAGCAGACTCCCTGCTGAGTGCAGAGCCTGACACGAAGGGCTCAATCTCATGACCTTGAGATCATGACCTGAGCTGAAATCAAGAGTTGAAATCACTCAACCAACTGAGCCACCCAGGCGCCCCTACCTACATATCTTTTTAATGACCATATCTCAGTATTGAAATAATTTATGTTTTTTTAAAAAGGTATATATTATATATACTTTGCACTTTTTTTTTTTTAACTGAAAAATGTCTCCTCAAGAGTCACCTCATTAGAACAAAAGACACTCCTGTCATCCAGGAAATTCTAAGGATTTTAGGAGTTCTGTGTCAGGAACCAGAGTCAAAGAACAAATATTAGAACAAAAGGTGCTCGCCACACCTTTATTCCTTGGGAAATTATAAGGGTCTTAGGAATTCTGACTAGGAGCCAGGGATGAAGACCAAAATATGTATTTCTTATCATATCACAGTACCCAGTCTCTGATTTTTAAAAGTTTGGGGAGGGGGCGCCTGGGTGGCTCAGTCGTTAAGCGTCTGCCTTTGGCTCAGGTCATGATCTCAGGGTCCTGGGATCGAGTCCCGCATCAGGCTCCTTGCTCCGCGGGAAGCCTGTTTCTCCCTCTCCCACTCCCCCTGCTTGTGTTCCCTCTCTCACTGTGTCTCTCTGTCAAATAAATAAAATCTTTAAAAAAAAAAGAAAGTTTGGGGAATACTGGATTATGTACCTGTAATTCTGCACCCATTTCCAGTGTGTGGGGTTTCTTCCCCATACCACCAGGCAATCAATCTCTGACACGAGCTGGCTGTCCTGCAATTCGGCTCAATTTTGACACTACCCATTTGGAGATAGTGTCAGATCCTATAGGTCAAGGGCTCGGTCCCACAAGACTGCCCTTCACTTCAGATGCCAATCAAAAGGCCAAGTTGTTGCCTCTGCTTCGGACTGACTAGGTATAAATCAGAGGTTCCCACAACCCCCTCCTTTGGTTCTATTAATTTGCTAGTATGGCTCCTAGGAGTCAGGAAACCAATTTAAACGCTCGATTGCCAGTTGATTACAAAGGATATTAAAGGATACAAATCAACAGCCAAGGAAGAGCTACATAAGACAAAGAAGCATGGAGTCCAAGGCTTGGCACCTGGCATCTGTCACGTGGAAACATTCTGGTAGCTCTCTGAACTCTCTCGGGTCTTTCTGGAAGCTTCATAATGTGGGCATGATCAATTAAATCATTGGCCATTGGTGATGGATTGAACCTCCAGCCCCACCTCCCTCCCCCAAAATCAGGAGTGGGACTGAAAGTTCTGTCTACTCTTGGTCGGTGCCCCTGGTGACCAGCCATCCCCTCCTTAGGTGCTTTCCAAAAGCCATGTCATTATCATAACAAAAGGCACCTTTATCGCTTTCATCACAGGAAATTCCAAGGGTTTTAGGAGTTCTATGCTAGGAACTACAAAGGCCAAATATGTATTTCTCATTCTAAATCACATTATTGGTACTGTTCGTACAATAACCGAACTAACGTGAGTTTACTCTCTGGTGTAAGTCACAGATAGAAACTACACCAGGGGGAGTTATCTCACAAAGGAAACTTAAACTAAAGTTAATTTGGGCCAATAGAATTTTTGTGGTGAAATATAAAATTTGCCATTTTAACCATTTTTAAGTGTGCAATTCAGTGGTATTAATTATGTTTGCAATTTGTGAATCCATCACCACTCTCTGTTTCCAAAACTTTTTCATCATCCCGAACAGAAACTCTGTACCCATTGAGCAATAACTCCCATTTTTCCCTTACCCCCACAGCCCTTGGTAAACTCAAAACTACTTTCTGCCTCTATCAATTTGCTTAATCTAGATATTTCATAGAAGTGGAATCATATGAAATTTGTCCTTTTGTGTCTAACTTACTTCACTTCGCATGTTTTTGAGGTTTATCTACGCTGTAGCATGTATCAGAACTTAGATTCCTTTTTATGGCTGAGTAATATTCCATTATATAAACACATTTTGTTTATCCCTTCATCTGATGGCCACTCGGGTTGTTTCTACCTTTTGGTTTTATTGTAAAAAAACCTGCTGTGAATTGCCTACAAGTATCTCTTTGAGTACCTGTTTTCAAATCTGTGTATATACCTATGTCAACCAAAATTCCTGGAATGCAGAGATTTAGTCAGAGGCAAGGGAAAGCTTTCTTGCCATACAGTATGTAAACCAGGGAGATCGCAGCCTTCAGCTACAACCAAAAGTGTGCTCTGAAGGGGAAGGTTTATGTTTGGGGTTAAATAGGCAAAAACTGCAAGTTCTGTGCCCTTACTGGGTTGGTCAGACTGCAGTCCTAAGCTGTAACTTCAGGAGTAGAATGACAAACAGGATACAGCCTGCTATTCCTGGTGGCAGCATCAGGCTGTGGCAGAGCCACGGAGAACAACGGCCATTGGTGATGGATTGAACCTCCAGCCCCAGTAAGATGTGTTGCACGGGATTTTATGGATTTTGTTGACTTTTGTGCAGGTTTGTCACCTCAAATATGCTAACTGGTTTTGTTTCCCATGGTCATTTGGGCTAGTTAAAATTGTAGTTTCTCTCCCTTGACATGAGGGAATCCATCTTGTCTTTCAGCTGGTGTTGTCCAATTATTGGGGTCTTTTTTTTTCACCTAGTAGTGGAATTGCTGGGTTATACGGTAATTCTACATTTAACTTTTGGAAGAACTGCCCAAGTGTTTTGTGTAGCAGCTGCACCATTTTACATTCCCACCAGCAGCTTATGAGGGTTCCAGTTTCTCCACATCCTCACTAACAATTGTATTTTCCATTTTGTTGATTATAACCATCCTATTAGGTGTAAAGTTGTATCTCCTTGTGGTTTTGACTTGCATTTCCCTATTGACTAGTAAGGTTGAGCATCTTTACATGTGCTTATTGTCCATTTGCATATCTGCTTTGGAGAAATGTTTATTGAAATCCTTTGCCCATTTTTAAATCAAATCATTTGTCCTTTTACTGTTGGACAAGTAGAGTCCACCTCTCTCCTCCCGCCAAACCTGCTCGCTCTTATTTTCTGGACTTGAGTGCGATGCCAGTTGCTTAGCCCGAAACTCAAGCACTCTTAGTTGATTACTTTCCTTCCCTCATCTTCCCACTGTCTTTCGGATACATCTTAGTTGGATTTGATCAACATCAAATTTAAAAATTGAATTCTCTTATTGAGGTGGAACCTAATTATGGTTTGAAAAATAAGTAAAAACAAAGTAATACTTTATTACTAACTGATCATAAGTTATTCTATTCTTCTTCTTATTTCTAAGTAGGTATTTAAAAAAATAAATTGACCAAATTAAATATTGCTTACATTTTATTGTTTTTATTTTAGTTTAAACTTTAAAAACAATGGTTTTGTTGTATTTAATTTTTGTAAGTTCTTTAAGGGAAAATGCCAACATACACAAAAATTTAGAGAACAATTTAATAAACCCCTGTGTTTCTTATATTTTCAGCAATTATCAGTGTTTTTCCAATCTTATGTCTTTCCCCTCTCACTTTATTTGTTCTCTAGAGTTTTTTGTTTGTATTTTTTTTCATTTTTAAGTAGGCTCCATGCCCAGTGTGGAACCCAGTGGGGGCTTGAGCTTAACGACCTTGAGTTCACGACCTGAGATGGGATCAAGAGTCAGATGCTTAACCAACTGAGCCACCCAAGCACCCCTGTTCTCTAGAGTATTTTAAAGCAGACCCCATAAGTGACATTTCATCAGTATATGCTTGTTTTGCAGATTTTGTTATCTTCATTTCAGGAACTGATACTGGTTTTCCCTTTAGTGGTTTCCTTTTAAAATCATTTATTTAAGTAAAAGAGTTGTTAAAACTATTAAGTCAAAAATAGTGTGAGTGACATGCAGATACATAAAAATTGTGAAAACAGTAAATGAATAAATGATGTCTGAGCATTATTCTGAAGGTACGAACAGTTCCTTGAATTTGCCATGTTCTTTTTCATGTCCCCATTGCTTTTTTCTTTACTAATTTCTCCATCTAGAATGATCTTTCTCCCTCCTCCATATCTTACTGGAGTTTACACTATTCATTTTTAACACTTCAATAAATTATTTTATCTTTACTTTAAAAAATTTTACATTTTTCATTATTCATTTTGCATAACTGTGTATCTTCTACAAAACCCATCTCAGCCTCCCCAAATAGAATCATTTCTTCTTTCCCATTTCTATTATAACCCATTTAACACCCAATAGCATTTATATATTTACTTGTCTCTATCTACTATTCTGTAAACTTCCAGTGTTTTCTTCATATTCGTATTCTGACTATCAAATAATGCAGGTTGTGTTGTGGCCTAATACGTGCTTATTGGTGGAAAGAGAGGATGAATGGTTTCTCAATAGCAGAGTTTTTCTAATAGGAGTTCCGCTTCTTCCACATAGTAAAACTGGCCTCATAGTAAACATCTTCTTTAATTTATTATGATGAACTCTGCATGATTAAACATCTTTTACACATCACCCAGTGTTTTTCACTTTAGATTGAACAGGAATGTCCTGTTACAGGGATTTGTGTCACTCAAGGATGTCACTGTGGACTTCACTTGGGAGGAGTGGCAGCACCTCGACTCTGCTCAAAGAAACCTGTACAGGGATGTGATGCTGGAGAACTATAGCAACCTTGTTTCAGTGGGTAAGAACATCTCTCAGAGGGTACTGGGTATTAGTTATCTGCTGCTGCATAACAATTACTTCAAAATTTAGTGGCTTAAAACAAACAGTTTAGTTTGGAAGGGCTTAGCTGGGTGGTTCTGGATTGTGGTCTCCCGTGTGGCTGTAATCAGATGTGAGCAGGGGCTGCAGTCATCTGAAGGTTTGACTGAGAGTATAGGATCTGTTTCTAAGATAACTCACTCACATGGCTGTTGACAGGAGCCTTCAGCTCCTTCCTCACCATGGGGGCCTGTTCTCACGACATGACAGACTTCCCCAGAGAGTGATCCGGGAGAGCCAGGAGGAAGTCACAGGGCCTTTTGTGACTGGGTCTCTGAAATCACAGACCATCACCTCTACCTTATTGTGTTTATTAGAAACAGTTACCAAGTCCAGCCCATGCTTAAGGGAAGGAGAGGACTTCTTGAAGGGAGGAGTGCCAAGGAATTTATGAACATATATTAAATCCACCATAGTACCCAATTGACTGCCTTTCCTTTCTTATTTACTAAAAGCTGCTGGGTCACTGCATGTTTAATGAGCTTCATTTCAAGTTACAAAGGTCAAAAGAATACTGATTTTGAGTACCAAATACACCAGTGGACTTGGATGAAAAGAGAATGGGTGCTGCATCCTGCTCATTCTTTGAGGGTTAAAGACAATGGGCTGTGCCCAAGTTCTTAGTTTTTATAGATTAATTGAAATAGAACATATGTAGTAAAGTGCTCAGATCCTAAATATACAGATTGATGCATCTTTTTCCTATGTTATTTAACCACCACCCAGATCAAGGTATAAAACATTTCAGGCACCCTAGCAGGCTCCCTTTGACCCCTTGCCATTTATCTCCTCAGAGATAACAACTTGTGGCTTCTGTCACCATAGATTAGTTTTATCTGTTCTTGAACTTCATGTAAGTGTAATCACTGTAATTGTCTGGCATCTTTCATTTAACATAGTGTCTGTGGAATTCATCCATGTTGTTGCACATGACAATATTTGTTTCTCCTTACTGTTGCACCATATTCCATTTAACGAGTATAGGGTAATTCATCAACGTATCCATTCTACTGTTGATAGTTATTTGGCTTATTTCAGACTTGGGTCATTGAATAAAGCTGTTTTGGACATTCTTTTTTTTTTTTTTTAATCTTCTTATTCTTTGTTTTTGTCTTTTTGTCTTTTTTTGCTTTTTTTTTTTTTTTTTTTTTTTAATCTTCTTATTCTTTGTTTTTGTCTTTTTGTCTTTTTTTGCTTTTTTTTTTTTACCTTTTTAATGGACATTCTTATATGCATCTTCTAGTGGAAATAAGCATTTTATTTCTATTGGGTATATACATAGGAGTGGAATTTCTGGGTCATGGATCACATGTATATTTAGCTTTAGTAGATACTACCAGATAGTTGTCCATAGAGGTTATACCAATTTATTTCTTACTAGCAATATATGAGAGTTCCATCAACATCTGGTAATGTTAGTCTTTTTAATTTTAGCTATTCCGGTGCATATGTGATGGGCTTGAATTCTAGGATGGTTGGATGTCCACTAATGGCCAAGTCCTGTATCATTTCCCATAAACAGGATGTCAGTCTCTGAAGTCAGATGTAATCTCATTGAAGCAAGGAGAACCATGGATGAGGGAGGAAGAAATCTCAAGTTGGGCCTACTCAGGTAAGTGAGAACCTGGCATGTGGGAGACAGCGATGTAAGATTAATCCTGATTAATGAGACATTTATCTTTGAAATATTTTTTAGGAAATCATTCTTTAAGGTCATAGATGTCTAGAAGTGGCTGAAGACAGTTGGTGTGGGATTGTCAAATACCTAAATAACACTGCTACATATCTAACAACCATGCAATCCATTTTCTTTGCTTAACTTTTACAGAGAGAGAAGTAACCCCCTTACCTGTACTTTGGATCTTATTTATGCCCATGTCATTTAGGACATTTCTTAGTTAACCTCTCTTTGGCTAACATCTTCAGCACCCTATTCTTCCAAAATGGGCTTATATTCCTCCCTTTATCCATTTACCCAGTCTTAGATATGCCCTCTATCAAAGTAACTTATTGAATGATATTCATATCCTTTATAATTACCTTGTTTTTCTCACCTTCCTTTCAGTGTGATATGTCTTGGAGTTATAATCGTTTGCTTCGTGTTTTTAAAATTTTTCAGATACTCCAGTAATACAAATATTACTTTGCCTTCTTCTTTTTCTCCTTTCTCTGTGACCTTTTTTACTGGATTTTTTATATTATTTTTATTATGTTGGCTATTTTCCTGCCTTTTTCAGTGCTGCTTATTAAATTCTCCTTACCCCCTATATATATGCAATGGAATATTATGCAGCCATCAAAAGGAATGAGATCTTGCCATTTGCAACGATGTGGATAGAACTGGAGGGTGTTATGCTGAATGAAATAAGTCAATCAGAGAAAGACATGTATCATATGACCTCACTGATATGAGGAATTCTTTTTTTTTTT